TTTGTGATTCTATCTTCCCATATCTTCCTATACTCAGTAATATTGAAACTGTCAACTTTTACAGGGTATACCAATTGCTTGGAGAATCCGGCACTTATTATGGTGTTCGATTCGGAAAGAAGTTTCCTTGGGTGACAGAATTTCCCTTTGGATATATCAAAGATCCTCAGTACGTAGGAAGTATCATGAGTCTTTTTGCATGTCTATCTTGGGTACCCTTTCAATACATTTTTCTGTGGACTCTGGGCTATGGGTTTATGATAAAGGTGGAGTCAACAGAAAATCCAGGTACACGAGCAAAACCATTCACTTGATATCTGGATATTGCTTCTTACTGATCTGCAACCTTGAACAACTTACCATTCACAAATTTTGTTAAAGATGCTTCTTTCTATATATTTCTTTATATAAGATGTCATCTTTATGGTCAAAATCTCTGACCTTGTCAAGATTGCTATCCAATGTAGTTTTGCCTTTGAATAAGTTGCCTGCCTGATTATTAGTCACTTGTTTTTTTCTGCATGGTAACTGGAATCACAAGGCCTTTCTTCTGTCTTCATTTAATTAAAAGATCATATTATCAATGCCAGAGAATGATCTTGTAGTAGTCATGCTGTTATTTTCGTGGTAAGTTATTTAATTAATTTCAAATTCATTTACATGATACATTTTCTCACCCATTTGTTTCATATAAATGTTCGTTTTTTAACTTCGCGGGAAAAAGAACTTTCTTTAGCTGGAAAAAAATGATGATCTCTACAGATTTTTGCAACTGAATGTCTCGAATTCTTTAAAATTGCTCCATTTTTCATGAACTTAGAATAAATACTAGACTTAGGACAGGTCTTTGAATAACTTCAGAATAATTAGATTATTTGATGTAAACCACAATAAACTAATATAATTTGCAGAAACATTCACTATTTCTCAAATTTTGTAAAGCAATTTAATTTTTAGGTAAAGTTGTAGTTCACAGAGAAATAGTGAACCTTACAGCATATCATATATAAATATTCTAGATTTTTTAACATCAATATATATTTCTGTAAAGGGTAGATTTCAATGACAAGTGAGACAGAATTGCTGCTAGAGTTGCTAATATCACCATTTAAAAAAAAAAAAAAAAAAAATTTACCCAGCTTACCATATCTGCAATATTTATCTAGAGCCTGTGATTTTTGTATAAGCTCAAACTTCAATTAGATCAGATTAGTTTGCAAAATCTATGTAAGATATGTGTCTAAATTCTATGATGTGAATAATGGGCTTTTCTTTCTATAGAGTTGATTGATTCTTTTAAATATATACATATATATATATATATATGTATGTATATATATTTTGGGATGAATGGTCCAATTACTGTCAAATTTATTTTACATTGCTTCTTTGTAATGTCTAAATTAATATTAATGTTTGTTCTTTACAAAAAAATGAACAGTTTGCATAATTCAACATACTCAGTTATGACTTCTTTCTAAAGTTTAAGCTAAAATTACAAAATCCATATAAGTTAAGGGGGCCCCCAATAAACTAGTGAGCTTTTCTGTAAATTACATTTGTTAGTTTATGATAAGTGACATTATTTTAAGAAATTGTATTTTTTAAAATAAAGAATTATATATTTTAATAATTAGTCAATATTTTTTACATTAATAATAACACAATTAACTTCTTAATAATGAATACACACAGAATGCGTCGTCCGATCTGAATTTACGTTTTATATTCAATTGTAATTCGTTTTATATTTGATTGTTGATGATATTTTCGACGTCGAAATTTTTAAATGTAAGATAAATGTTTTTTTTTTAATTTTTTGTTGCTCTTTTATTTTCTAGGGCTTTTCAAATTTAGAAAATAAGATTGAGTTTTTGACTCGAAGAAACTCGAAGAGCATATTTGAACAACAACCTTTTTGGCCTTTTCATTTTCATTTTTGCTTTCGATCTTTGGTTGTGATTTTTAATATAAATTTTTGTACTGATTTTTGAAATTATAAAAACTAGAGAGAAGAAGATTGAGAGAGAGAGAGAACAAAAAAAGAAAGAGATGGAAATTCAATAATTCTACCAAATTTGACTTGTAATAAAAATATTTTAAGAACTACAATAAAAAAATGAATTATGATTTTTAAACTAAAATAATAATTTATTTTTTTCAAAAAAAGTATTATTACGCACAATAATACTAAGGGAGTGTTACCCGTGTCCAAAGTAATTATATATTTATCAAATGATCAACGATAATTCTTATATATTTTTTAATTTAAAATGTCATAATTTATCAAATATATGTTTAAAGTTTTTTTTTTTTTTTTACAAATATATATCGAAGCTTACAATTCATTACTTATATTACAAGTCATAACTCAATTCATTCATAACATCGTGAATACTAAAGATCAAATGTTGTTGGCAACCGAACAAAATACTCATCGGCCTTGCGCAAGTAACAACAGCGATTAACAAGACTGTTGCCTCGCACTCTTTTAACATATCAATGGTCAAAATACTCCTTTTAAAAGCTTCCCAAACAAAGAAAACCATCCTAGGGGGGAGCTTTACTTTTCCAGATTTGCTTAAATGGTGCTGCCGCCTAGTAATTTATCCAAACTTCAATTCAAATAAATTTGAGATGAACTAATTACCATAAGACAATAAATTAATGCAGTTTGCAGAATATTTTACTGATTTACAGAATTCAAACTCCCATGTTTGGTGCTTATGTAAGCCAATTAGATTAACAAATAATTAATAATTACAGTGCAGGGTTTGTGACCCAATAATGGCATGTTATTTCTTTTTTGAAAAAAAAAATGTTTAGGAATGCTACTTTTGGTACAAGTCCTGTGGGGCTAGTAAAAATAATTATTGATAATTATAGTTGTTAATCATCATTAACAACTATAATTACTTTGGTAGTTCATCATTATTTATTTTTTTTAATTTGACAATCGTTCATAATTGATAACTGATTTAAACTATTTAAATTTCGGCGTCGTAGTCTAATCTATTTTAATAATTAAATGCTTTTTAAATCTTTCATAATTTGTAAGAACTTATTACATTATCTTATTTGAATGTAAATATTAATTAATTCTTGCATTATTTTCTCCTGAATAAAAAAAAAAAATCTCAATTTAATCCTCTTTTATATGTTACAAGTTATTCATCTTAAATTCTGGAATTTGATCGCATTTTTCATTTTCACTTAAAATTCTACTATCGTATTTTCATGTTCATATTAAATCTCGTTACTAGAATAAATTATATTTCAGTTAAAGAGATAAAATTATAATTGTAAGGGGGACTATACATGGAAGGAAGGAAGCACTTTATAATCCATTTTATTTCAGATATTCAATTACAAATATACAGATTCAATATATAAGGAAACAATGAATGAAAATGGGGGGAAGTGTCTTCTTCTGCTTCTTCTTCTTCTTCTTCTTCTTCTTCTTCTTCCTCCTCTTCTCCTTCTAGGCTATAGCTAGGGACACATTGAAAATTTGCATAGCATTTCTCACTGCCTCAACCTCAATGTCTATTAACTTCCCTGTCTTCGACCAAACAACAGTACACTTCTTCTCTTCCGCATTGGGAACGAATAGTTTCCCTTTGTCTTCAGATCCAAACAGCCCAATACTGCAACCGAGAAGCTTCTTAAGTATATATCTCTCAAGTTCTTTTTATGATAATATTACCTTGAGATAGCATTAGATATTGAATCACCAAAGAATGTACTTCAATGATATGTAAAGATGACCATACATGGGAGATGTTAGGCCCAACCTTGATATCGTAATATATATGGATATATAAATAAATAAAGCAGAGAACTGAAAATTTTTACCTGGGTCTTTCACGTGCATTAGCTAGTTGGATAGCTGATGTGTTTGTAGCTATCACCCCAGCTGAATCGTTGATTAGAGCAGCCAGCTGAAGTCATGCAATCAAAGTACTGGTGTTATAATTTGAACCCATTTCTTAACATCATTATCTGTTTAATTTTAAGAGCATGCTTCCATATGAATATATATATATATATATATGTTTGTGTGTGTGTGTGTGTGTATACCTGCCCCGGCGTGGTGATGAAGATAATACTTGCATCATCTCCTACAACTTCCTCCACATTTTCTCTTTCTTTCTCATGTGGAATGACAAAAACTGGCCTCAGTCCCCTGTTTTCATAGTATATCAACTGTCAAGTTTCACATGCAAAAAATTTAGTGCTGGTTCTGATGAATATGCCCAAACTTAGTATAGAACACATTTCCACAGTTAAAATATATTTGAGCTGGCCAAACACAGCTAGTAAAACTCTATGATGAAATAAAGGAAAAGAAAACAAAATGAATCAATACAACATATCAGACTGTATCTCGGAGAATCACATTCCAGGATGATTCTCCAGGCTTTTAGAATTTTGAACTCAGATAATTCTTTTCATTGTAATAGAAAAAGATAAATTATTCAAAGAAGATAGTTTATTGTTCCAAGCAAACAGATTTTCAACCATTCCAAGAATATTCTGAAACCAAAAAAAGAGTGAGCAGAAAAGAGTGTTCAAGGGAGTATCGCATGTACCTTACATCCTTGGCTATTTCAGCCCATACTTGAATAGGTAGCAAGCAATCAGTATCTCCTCTTGACTGCATTGAAGCTTTTGAATCTGATTCGATTCCATGAATCACAATATATTTTCCTTTTTCCGCATCTGCAGTCCTATATTTTTCAGCTACAACCTCCTTCAACTTCCTAGAAATTGACACTCTAAGTGGCGGCACAGGATGCCTTGGCACACTGCGAAATGGCCGCCCTAACCAATCAAGCATTTGATGGTACCTACATCAAACAAAAACCCTATTAGGAATCTTTCCAAAATATATAAAAAACAAGCCTATTCCGATTAGCATAATACGGACCTTGAATTCAAATTCTCATAAAAAATTTGAAAAAAAATTTATATAGAAGAAAGAAAGAAAAAACAATTATCTCAAAAAAAATTCTCAGAGAAAAAAAAGAAAGAAAAAGAGTAGAACACTGACTCCTTGCACTAGTCAAAAAAGATTTATATAGAAGCCACAACGCAGTTTACTTGCTATTTTTTGTGTCAACATGAGGTGGATTCTCCTGGAATAACATGTAAGGCTAAAATCCTGGATGCATTCAAGGGAGGAGATTTATTCCCATGCAAAGTGTGGATTATCAGGAAGGAGATTTGAATATCACAAAAGTCAAAAATACATTGACTGTCCTAAAATTACATCCTTCGTTTTTAGTAAAAATTCTTACATTTCATCAATTAAATGCACTAATCATAACACAATATTTTAATTGTGATACAAAGAATGTATAATATAACCTGAACTCACAATTTCTTAGAAAGAGAAAATATTAATCATTCAGTAAAATAATGAGCGGTGTTCTAGTACAGTAAGTTGACATAAATTGTCTATAAAAATCTAATTATCAATAAAAGTAAAGATATCTTCACTTTCATAAATAGGTATGTGTGTCTGTGTATGAGATACAGGAGCATAACTCACATGTTATATCCCCCTTCTGAAAGATTCAGACTATCAGGCGTGAAAGTTTCTGATAGAAGTAATCCTGCTCCTGCTGCATTTACATTTGGATAAATATAGCTAACTCTATCTCTTGCTGTCGTCATAAACAAGAATGCTGCGTGTCCAAGCCCTGCTAGCTTGGTTGATAGCACCATGTCATAATATCTGTTCTGCAAGCACATAACAACACCCATTCTCCGTACTTACATACTAATGCTTACTAATATTATCACTGCATAATTTATGGCATGAAAGTTGAGAAGGGAATAAAAGAAGACATGAACCTTGAGCACTCCAACCATGTCAGTATACTCAGCTGGCTCAGGCCATTCATCATCAGGATCATAAGCATTAGCCCATCTCACATTCTTGTTCAATTCGTACGTCTGTTTCCCTCTTGCAGATGCCAATACATCCACTTGAACTCCTGGATACCTTTAAACACAGAGCATTACAGAATCAAAATCAAATCATCAGCTCACTAATCTACAAACCCAGATAAGTTAAGTGTTGAGAAAAATCATTCCCCAATATACACACAACCCTACAAAGTAAAGAACAAAATAAACAAAGTAAAGAGTAAAATAGAAAAAGTCACAAAATTTAATATAGTTCCACAGAGATGCCTACATATATGGGCAGAACCGAGAAAAATCTTTCCACTATGACGACAAATGAGAAAACATGACTGATAGAGTTGTAGAGGCTTTTATATATACAAAGTATTAAAAAATTTTCCATAGCATTTGCAAAATATATACTCATAATATACACACAATATTCCTCAAAATATTGTTAAGAGTCCACAGTTAGAAGGAAGCATTGTTACCTATCCTTGATCAACTGAATAGCAGGGAAAAACAATAAGTTCTCATAGACACCACCAGAAATCACGCAGCAGCACCTCCTCACGTCACCTCTGATCTTCAAAGGCAAAGACGCGATTTCCACATTAAACCCTTGTGGAAACTTCAAGTAGCCATAAGGGTTGTTGGGGTTATCAGGTGGTCTGGGATCTTCTTCTTGCTTTCCATCTGCAAACAATGAGCCATACTCCATTTCTGGGTCCTCACCATCATCAAAAGGGTCCAGCCACGGGTTCTTCTTCTTCGCCTGGACTATGACATTGGTGGGTGTCCTGGTCCACCATGGGTGATCGAGTGGGAGAAAGAGCGATGGTTTGAGTGCGTTAGATGATGGGGAAGAAGGTGGGGTTTTCAGAAATGGAGATATGGTTTTCGGTAGAAGAGAAAAGGTAGCCATGTCTTATGGGTCTCTTCTGGTCTTGCTTTTTATCTGGCCATTTCTGCAGTGGCATGCTGTTCTTGCAGTGGGCATTTCAGTGTAAAGAATGCAATGTGGATAAGTGGGTCCCAAGAATTCTTTTTTACTTTAATTTTCTGTTTTAACATTATTTATATAATTTTATCACTAAATTTGAGAAAACAAATGTCAATGCATAGTTAATATATATATATATATATATATATATATTAGGATTGAGAGTTACAAAACAGTTTATTCATCTTTTCAAAAATAATAATAATAATAAATAGAATTTAGAGAGTTAAACTTGACAAATAAAAATAAACTAAATAGAATAAAATTTTAAACAAGTTGTGATGGCAAATGAATGAAGTGGACGAAATTGAATGAGGTTTTAAGTTGGAACTTGGGAGTTGGTTTTGGGATTTTCTACTTGAAGTTTGGCTTATGGAATTGTATTAATTTTATTTTCTATTTGATCAAAATAAGTAGTTTATTTTTGGAGAAACTAGTAAATTAATAATCAAAACTAACGTTTGTTATAATTTAATCTCCGATATTTTTTTCGTTATAATTTGGTTCTTAATATTTTATATTTATTTTAAACGCTCAATATCTTTTAATTTGAATAGAAAAAGATTAAAATGATTATATTATATTTAAATTTTTTTAAAAAATAATTTTTATTAATTAATTAAATTAATAATTTGTATAAATAAATTGAACGTTTAATTCAAATATAAAATGTTATTAACCAAATTATAACGAAAAAATATTAAGAATTAAATTGTAAAAATATTAAATTTCATGAACTAATTTTATAATTTGCCTTTGATTTTTTGACCAAGCTTGCGTTAATAAAATATGTGGAAATTATATCACGTGACTTAAATAATCGCCTTTACGACCAAAGAAAATTTGGTTAAGCCTAATGCTTTCCATATTTAGCCAACTTATGACCATTATGTTTAATCTTGTATTTGGACTATAGTTGGTGTCCTCGTAATTTTTATTTATTTTATGTTATTTCTTTTGAAAATACATAATATTATTGTCATAAACTCAATATATAACTCGAATATTGTAGCGCCCGGACCGAGAAGAAAAAAAAAAAAAAAGGGGCCACGTCGGCGGCCACGTCAGCAGGCCCGGTCAGCAGTCCCTGCCAACCGGGACTTGCCACGTGGCAAAACCACGTCGTTCCAAAAAGGGCCACGTTGGCGATCCGCATGGGCGCGATCGGACGGCCCAGATCAAGCGTGCGATCGGACGGCCCAGATTAAAACAAAATAGACGGCTGAGATCAAAAGGCAATGAGTTATAAATAGAACCCCCACACCAGACCACAAACCCTAGCCGCCTGCCGCTCGCCGGAGAAGACGAACCAGAAGTCGGCCGCTGCCACCCGCCGCCGCACCGGAGGAACTTCCGACCGCCGATCGAGGTAAATTTCGTACCCCCAACTCGTTTTTCCACGCTGATTCCTCCTGTGGCCAAATTAGAGCCAAAATCCCGGCCAAACGGCCGAAATGCACGGCCGAAGCCCAGCGGCGCCACCGCGTCCTTCTCGGTTTTTGCCTCCAATGAGGCCCTTCCCGGCCTCCGTTTGATGCAAATTTTATATCACCGTGATCACCACTCTTTTCTCTACAGGTTGACCGGAGCCGAATCACCAAAACACGAACCTCGCCGGAGAGCCGCCGCACCCGAGAGCGCCGCCGCCGGTAAGCTCCGTTTTTCCGTGATTTTTTGGCCCCACGAGGGCCCTAGGCTTGTTTTCTCGCAGGGACCGATGCGAGTGTGGCCGAATTCGGCCGGAAATGGCCGAAAACAGCCAACCCGAGGCGAATCGCCGCCGCCAGCGGCGGCGCCGTCGCTGGAGCACGGCAGAGCCGCCGTGCCGGAGTTGCGATTTGGGCCGAAAGGGGCCCTGGGCCTAATTTGGAATTTTTTTGGAACACGTGCAGGTACCAGTAGTGCGTTTCAATTCCCCGAGGAAAATTCAGGGAAAATTAGGGACAGCCTGTAGGCGCACTGTGAAGCTGTGTTCGGACCCCGAAACGAGTAAGGACCCCTCACCCTATTTCCTATCACGGTTTTAAAGTTCAATAAATGATAAAACGGTATTTCATGAATCAACGAATGTGTGAAATTGCTTAAGGTCGCTAATGGAGTCCGAGTCTAGTGTATTTGTCGGTTAACTGTTATTTGGCCTGTTTTACAGTCTTCAATGCAGCATGAGGTTCAATGTTTTCATTTTATAGTTTCGTGTGTATATTGTACTGTTTTATTGATTATGGATTGAATGACTGGGGTGTTGATAATATATGTTGTCTGTTTGGCATAAATTATCGTTTAACTTGTTTGTATGTAATTGAAAATGCTAACTGAGGGAAAAGGCGAATGAAAGATTATGTGAATGGAAATTGTATAATGTGTTCAGCCTGACTAGATATCCTGAGAGATGGTGGACGGACCGGGTCCGTAGGGAACCCTACCGGGATTGTGGTCTCCCATACCGGACGGGGTATGGAGATCTTACGTGTTTTGGCGCCCATACCGGACGAGGTATGGGGACGGCCCGTTTCACCCTCATACCGGACGGGGTAATGAGGTCTATGGTTTGGCACCCATACCGGACGGGGTATAGGGACGGTCCTGGAATATGATCTCAAGTATTAAGGATTAACGGGTAGCGGGACCCCTATGGATCTCCATGGATACTAGTGGGCTGGTGAATTAGGAAAATATGTTGTAAAACTATTGAATTACGAAGAGTGTGATAGGTATTATGTTATACAGTTCATATATATGTTTTCATGATGATGATGATGTTATTGCTTTCGTATATTGTTTTATGAATTTCACCGAGGTAAGTAAATGATAAAGGTTTTATTTTCGGTAAAAGGATTTGTTGTAAATTATGCTCCATTGGTCTTTTTGTGTTTTCTACCCACCTTTACTTTCGTGACGGTGAGATATCGTGATGTCTTTACTGGGCTAGTGTAGCCCATTCCTCATTTAATCATTTCAGATCAAGAGAACATCGTTCCCGAGCCGCTTCCGCAGGAGGACGACGAAGGGGACGCCTAAAGACTCCATAGTCACATTCGTAGTTTTTTTTACTTTCAAGTTTCTCTTTTAGGTAGTTTAATCTTTTATATTTTGTGAGTACGTTTTGGTTTTAGTGTAAGGGATGTTATTCAAATTTTGACTTCGCTTCCGCATTTGATATTTATAATACAAATTCCATTATGAATTATCGGGGCCGTTACAAATATTGTAGTTAGTACTTTTCTAATATTAACTATCTTTCATTAATATACATCATTCATTGTTTACATTCGACTTAAATTTTATTATTTTCAATATGAACCCTTTTAATTATAAAATTAATAGCTCTGCTTTCAGTATTTAGAGTTTAATTTATAAACAATTTTTTCACCTTAGGTTATATTATCTCTAAATATCTATTATTTTTAAAATATTATTACCGAAATTGATTCTTTTTTTTTTTTTATTTTCACCATAAAGTTTAGTACTTTCACATTAGACCCTCTAATCTCTATATAATATGTTTTGATTTGTTTTAGAAGTTTTCTTTATAAATAATTATTTTACGTCTATTTTGAGCTAGTCTGTGTCAAATTATTATTTCGTTATTTCTTACATACGTTACTCATTTTAGAAGTTTGTATAATTAGTTTGGTTTATCTAAAATATATTTTACTTTTTAATATAATAATTAATTTTTGATATAAAATTAATTATTTATCTTTTTTACATTGATTACTCTTTGTACATTACATTAACATTATTTTTTATATTACACGTAATTATATAAGAAATAAATAATAAAACTAATACGAAAAAATAAATCGTCAATTATAAATTTAAGAAATAAAATAAATAAAAATAAAGTAACCTAGCCATAATTAGTTATGATCACAAGCTTTCTCTATTTTTAGATAATTTTATTACAAACAGGAGAATGCTAAAGAGATTTATCATCCAAAGAATGTTTAATTTTTTTAATTTAATTTTATATAGAAATAAAAAATATTTTTTTAAAAAAATAAATAAGAAGTTTCATATATAGATATTATATTAGTGTCTCAAATATATTCGAAAAAAATATAATATTAAGTTAAATTTTATGATAAAATATTTTGCATATTTAATTTAAAAATTTAATAATAATAATTTTAAATTTATATTTTTAAAATATAATTTTTTATTTATAAATTAATTTACGGAGTGGATTTTTTTTTTACTCAGACTCGTATTTTTATAATGTTTATTGGAAAAAAAAATTAACTATTTTTTTTTACTTGAACTAAATTAAACACATTTTTATTTTATTTCGAAAATAGAACTTTTTATAAATATAATAATAATAATAATAAACTTGGAATTACGACAAGAACATTCGAGAATCGGGAGGAAACCCATTTTCGTCGGGTCGGGGAAAAAACCAATTTTCCTGACAAAAAAAAAAGGAATAATACTAGAGAAGTATCGAGTTAACGTGGCATGCTATGATTGGTCCACGTATTCTCGGCTTTCTCTCACCGTCCTTTCAATTCTTTCTCGATCAGAAAAATTTCTACTGGCTAAAGACTGCCCTTTAGTCCTTCACTGCTCACCTTCTTTCTCTTTCTCTTTTCTCTCACTTCCCCCTTCCTCTCCTCCCTCTTCCCCCAGACTTTCTCGACCGCCAAACAGCAATTCAAGTAAGGAGGTTTACGTTCGTGCCAATGCAGTATCTCCGGTACCTAAATTTATTTCTTTTCTAGGGTTTCCCCCATTGTTAAACTCCTAAAATCGCTCAGACACCCAGTGAATATTCTCAAAAACCAAAACAAGTAATTGCATTGGTGCACTTCTAGCCCCAGAAGCTTTAGTTGAAGCATTTACCAGGTACTTATCTGAAAAGAGAAAAGAATCTACCAGAGATGGCAGGTCCACCTCGAGTATGGTCAACGCACATTAGCGAACCGGAGAGTCGGCCGGTCCTTGTACCGGCTGGGAACAAGGTACAGAAGAAAACGCTGACTAAACCCATCAAGAAAGCCGAGAAGCTAGCAAAAGAAGAAATTACTGAGTCAAAAGACGGAGGTAAATTGGTGAAATTGACCTCGCCGAAATCGCCAACTCCAGTAGTAACGCCGGTACCGCAACCATTGCCTCAATGCCCGCACTTGAGCTCCTCGATTTTGAGGCGGAACGTGTCAATGACCGCGTCGTGCTCGTCGGATGCGTCTTCCTCGGACTCCTCGTCACTTAGCCGCGCGTCTTCTTCGAGCGGAAAGAAGGTGTTTGCAGCGCGCCGAAGTGGTGGTTCGGCGGTCAGGAGGAAGCAGTGTGTGGAAAAAGTGGAGAACGGAGAGCCGGTACTTGCTGGTAATGGTTGCTTGGAGGGAAAGAAGAGATGTGCTTGGGTCACCCCGAACACTGGTGCGCCTACCATGCTTTTCTTGTTTATTTTCTTTCATTATTGATTTAAGTCTTAAAATTTTGTTTCACTTTTTGTATTTTCCATCTGATTATTCTTTTTAATAGTGGGTTTAGATAGATGGCATTGAAGATATGGCTCTATACTAGGTTTAGAGATTTTATTTTTCTTTTTTGTTCTTTTATGGAGTGAAGTAAATATTTTTGGGCATAGGGTATAAGTAAACTAGTTCTATTATCTAGAGCTCCCAAATAAGAGAGCCAACTTCTTGGTGCTGATTACAAAACAAGGAAGAAAAGTCGGGATCTTGAGATTATCAGAAATTACTAAATAGTTAGTCTCAGGCTGGGTAGTCTAAGCGCTTGTCTTCCTTTGGATGGTTTAACTGTTAGAATAACATAAGCAGGATGTATGGAGCGGCAAAATTCTTTTAAATGAGTATTTGAAAATTTCCACTTAGAAGGATCTCTGCCACTGTGACAGAGCTTTGTGAAGTCATCCACGAAAAAGGAATATTCTCTGTGATAAGATTTGAAGTCAAGCACTTTAAAGGACATAGTTTATCTCACTTTATGCTGTTGGGAAAATTCTTTCCTGTCAAAAGTCAGTGCTGTCTCTTAATTAGGTGAAGCACTTACTTAAGGAAAACATCTATATATCTTTAGGTCAGTAGATGCAGCTTGGCTTTATTAGTAATTCATATTGATATTCTCATTATGTAATTCAATCTAAATGTGAAGAATTGCATTGCTAATTATTCTTATCATTAAGGTGAAAATCCTAATAGGAAACCATGTGATTACTGGGAGTAGGTGTTGGACATCTTTCTATATGTGTTGCATATGTTATTTACCATGCACCTAGTAGACCATGATAATTATGTTAGTGAATTGGAAACCACTTAACTTTGAAAAAGTATGCCAACTAAATAATGACTCAAGTACATTCACATTCTCTAGTGTACATGAGCCTGAAAAATTGTTTCCATGGATGAGAGTCGATGATGCTATTCTGTGTCCTACCAGATGGATCTATTGGGCTTGTAAATTAGGCCTTGTGAATACAAGTAAGGATGTTAGAATTAAGTGTCAGTCCTGTTCATCTAATCTGATGCTGAAAATTTGTTTACAAATTCATTTAGAAGAATTTGTTCTGGTATTAGCTCTGCCGTATCTCCTCTATTTAGCCAGAAAATCTAAACTTCTAAGTGAATTTTTTCTCATTGCTCTTCCCAGACAAAATTCTTTGCTGGCTTTGGCTAAGAAAACCAATTTTTCGTTTTTGCTTGATGATTCTGTGCATAGGTTACTCTTTCTTGATTGCAGTGTTTGTTTCTAATATATGAATTTCTTGATTCCTCACTTCTTGTTCAGTATAACTAGGTTTTATTTAGACCTTCCGTAGTACACCTCTGAGAAAGTTGCCAGTTTAAATTAGCAATGTCATCCAATTGTACTCCTAGATGCAAACTCCTAAACTGTTCCTTGTATTATGGTTAGAATAGAGTTTAACCAATGTATGTGTGAGCAAAGTTTAGATTGTGGTCTTCTCAAAAAAAAAAAAAGAAAAAAAGAGGTTTAGGTTGTGGCTTAAGATGTGGTAGCATAACAGCAAGTTAGATGTAATCTCTGTTATAGCTTAGACTAATTTGGATAAAGTATATCATTTCTACCTAAGAAATTAAAAAATCAGTAGTTCCACTTTCTTTTTCCTGAAGGAGGCACAATATAGAAAGCTAGAGAAGAAACTTTATGACTCGGAAGGAAAAGGGAATTTGTTCTTTTATCCTACTGGCGATTTATTGTCTCCATTCTTCAAAATAATAGCATTTGTCTATTCATCTTTCCACATGATATATGGAACTTTAATAGGATGTTGGAGCCCTTGAAATTTTTTTTTCGTATTTGTTTGTATCGTAGAGAAGAAAATACATAAAGACCAGAGATGATTACAATCTTCATCTTGCAGTCTGAAAAAATTATTTTCTGCCTTAAAATCCCTTAAATGTCTTTTGCCTGTTATTTTGACCCTGCCTCAGAAATTCAAGGATATCAGGATCCACTGTCAACTTTTTTTATTCTTTATCATAGTAGGGATATCTAGGGCCTGTTTACTTTGATGACAAAATTTCTCTTTCGGAAAACAATGTTCTGTTTTTGGAAACAATCTGAATGTATTTAGCTTTATTAAATGAAAAAATATTGTTAGGAAAAAGATCTCTAATTATTTAGAAATCTCGAAACGGGAAAACATTCTAAAACCAAAACATGGGAGAAGAATATGAAAAAGATGTCATGTTATGGTGCCTGACCACGTCCTCTTGCCACACCACATTTATTACATTTTCGAGCTTTAGCTTTAAAACTTTTCTGAAATTTTCCTTGCAAGTCTATAGAATTTTTTTTAATTGAAAATAATAATGCTTTTTAAAAAAGATAAATATAAATTCTCATTCCTTATTTTAAAAAAAGCATTACTCAAAAATCATGTGAATAACAAAAGAGGAAAAGGATTTTTCAATTTCAAGATAAAATAGTCTGGTTTGTTTAATGATAGGTCAATGCGTCCAGATTTTCATAATCAGAAATATTTTCTACGTTCGAGCAAGTCAGAGATGGCTTCTAAAAAAAATTAGACAAACTAATCTGGTTTGTTTAAGAATCATCTTTTGCAAAGAAAACTTTAAGAAAAAAAAAGGTCACGGTTTCTCCGTTATTCTAACAAATAATTACATTTATATTATATTAATGGAACTATATTTTTTAAGAGCATTTAAGTCGACTTATATTATATTAATTTAGTATTCAGACTATTTGTAATTTTAAAACAATGCATTTCTTAGACTAAATGCATTTTCATTTTTTCCCCCTAAGACGGTTTCCAATCACGACAACTAAGCACTTCTTTTTTAAGAAAACAAAAGCTAAAAATTGAAAGCAAATGAAAACTCAAAGCTCAAGATAATTTTCTTATAACTAATATGTTATTCTATTATTTCTTCCTTGCTCGGTCATCTACTATTTTTAACTTGAGGTTTTCCCGCATCGACATTCTATTGCCATTTGCATCAAATATTTGTTTAATTAGTTAAAAATCCTCTACTTTTAACTATTTTTATGTGTTAAAAAAAAAGATCCATGTTATGCTGCTTTCCACGATGAAGAATGGGGAGTCTCTGTCCATGATGACAAGTACGTGATCTTGCAATAGTACTCAAGTAATTCCATTCTGGCTTCGAATGCTAAACAATCTGATGGCTGCCTAAGACTTAATTTTGTAAAACATGCAGGAAACTGTTTGAATTTCTCAGCCTGTCAGGTGCCTTGGCTGAACTTACATGGCCTGCCATTCTTACTAAAAGGCATATATTTAGGTACTGGTAATGCACCTATAGCGAACAATTGTGTTCCTGGTCAGATGATGGGTATTATAATTCTATTTCTAAAAAGAAACTTCCTTTTCTATCCAAAAAAATAACAGTTATTTGTTTGAATTGGAAATATCTGAATGCAGAGAAGTATTTTTGGATTTTGATCCAATCGCTGTTTCAAAGTTGAATGAGAAAAAGGTAGCAACACCTGGAAGCCTTGCTAGTTCCCTGCTATCAGAGCTGAAGTTACGTTCAATTATCGAAAATGCAAGACAAATATGCAAGGTACATATTTAGAACGAATTTTCTCTGAGTTCATTTGTTATATAGCTAAATGATTTAGGTAATGCTGGAATGATTATTTCAGAAAAAAAAAGGGTAATGCTGGAAGGAATTTTTGTCTTCACATGCTTAACCAGTTCATATATTGTTCTTCTGTGCCTGCCAATAAATGTTGCAGAACCATGCAAAATTTTCTTTTGGCTGCCTGTTTAAGTGTAATTATTGTTTGCTGATTATGCAGATAAGGGATGAGTTTGGTTCGTTTGACAAATACATTTGGAACTTTGTAAACCACAAACCTGTGGTGAGCCAGTTCCGGTACCCCCGCCAAGTTCCAGTAAAGACTCCAAAAGCGGAGGTAATAAGCAAAGATTTAGTGAAGAGAGGGTTCCGCAGCGTTGGACCAACAGTTATATACTCATTCATGCAAGCTGCGGGACTGACAAATGATCACATTGTTAGTTGCTTTAGATTCCAGGAGTGCATGGCTGGAGCAGAAGTGGAGGAAAAAGATGACATGAAAACCAAGGGCAAAAATTAAAAGTAACAGGTGATTTTTCCAACCCAGATGGATGGATTGCTATTCTGGAGTTTGCATCTGGCACCTCTTCTGGTACACCAAGGTCTGAGAAGTGATATGTTTTGTGTATAGATGATTACGGATGTAGAAATTTATGATGTGGTGAGGAGCAGTCTTGCTGTTGCAATTTATATGACTCCTTTAGGAAGTTAGTAAAAAATAGTTACCACGCTTTGGTACAGAAAAGGATTTTCAGGCTCAGACATAAAAGAGTTTGGCATAGAAAAGTTGAGGTTGGTCTATCCACTCTTGCTGTATTTTGGTTTCTTTTCAATCCCAGGACAGTCAAATAATTAAATTCATTCTACCAGAAGGGATTGAAACTGAAATCTACGCGATCACTGGTCTCAGTAGGTTCACTTGTATTACAATTTAGGTTTTTATACAATTTAGCCCTATAAATGCCCCGATCACAAGATAGTATATTAGTACCTTTTAAAGGAAGAAAGGGGCCGGATCAAGATTTCCATGATATCTATTTGATCACCCAATATGTAAGTTTTTGCCTGAGTTTCTATAGATTGTGTTCTCTTTTTCTTTTAGTTACAAGATCGTCCTGGCAGGATAGCAGTCCCAGTAACCCTACTGGACTTGTGTAGTTAAGAAATTCAATTAGTTTTATAAGCAGGTGAGGGAGGCTCTACTACCACTAAATCTCCATCAGTTTGTTAAGTCAGAAATTTGAAAACTCTAAATATTTCCCATTTTTGGAAAAGAAGAATGGAAAAAACAATGAATTACGGTGTCACAAAGAGAGAAAGTTGCTAAAAATAAATATAAATCTTACTTTATTTTTAGGGTTCGTGATTTTTTTTTATATATATACAATTATGAAGATGAAAATTTATTAAAAGACATGACAAGAAGGTACTGAATCTAAAAGACTGCGAATCTGGAGGCTTTATAGTAGCATCTGCTGATTTGTTTCGTGGTTATTTTATATACCCATCTGCTTGAAACTCAACCTTGAGTTGCTCAAAGTTTATCCTTCATTTGAAATGTTGTATTTACAAATAAAAATTTTAAGTTCCTGATCAAAATGGGTATGCACATATATATATATATATATATATATATATATATCAATAACTTCCCTATAAATTTTATTTCTCCGCTGTTTGTATAACAATTGAAAGGAGAGATTCAGCAAAATTAAAGAGAGCAATAAAAGAATGAACAAGAGAATCCTCACTAATTTCCTTCTCTATCTACGTCTCTCTTCTTTTCTCTCTCTCTCTGTGTATATCTAAATATTATAGTACATTAGATATATAATTGGTTCAGCATTTTTAATGAGGAGGATTTATATTGATCCCTTCATGCATATTCTCAGAAAAAGCTGCTGCAATGGCTGCTGTGAACTTGGGATCATTGGTCAAGGAAGAAGCCATATGGTCCACCAACATTTGTTGCAGTTGCTGCGGCGTCTCATCCATTGTCCTCCCCAACATCCCTTTGTTTAATCTGCTCGTCGTTGATCTTGTCAAGTCCATTGTCATGGTTCGTCCACCTTGCTTACCAGCTGATCCAGCGCTCCCACTCCGCACATTGGAGCTCGGTGTTGCCTCCATTGGATGTGTGTGTTCCCCTTCATAAGTTGCCACAATCACCGATTGATCCTCAATGCTTCTTTGCACCTGAACACCCAATTATACATGTTTAATAAATTAAGTATTTACCTTTTAATTAATTTGAATCGTAGATTATCTAACAAACTGATGAATTCAACTGATGCAAAACTAGGATTAATAATGCATCCGAAGCCGCACATGAATAATTAGTACAAAACTTATTCTCTAGACAAATTTTTTCTACTTAACCCGACATCAACTTATGATTTGAATGAAGATAATAGAGATAAATGAATTTATTAAAATTTTATAAAAAATATTTTGATAAATTAAAATAAATTCAAAAAAAGAGATTAATTAAAACGTTACAAGTTACAAGTTAAATTGATAAGATGAAAAGCTTTGAAGAAACTATCATGTAAGATGACCATAAGTAGGAACTCATATCTATATTTTTATAGGTAATTTGCCTATTTAAAGGTTATTCAGTTGTTTGTAAAAATCAGATTAGAAAATCAAATCAATATCTAATCTTCTTTTCTCCACTAATCTTCTCCTAGTTTATTCTAATTTTTTCTCTTCTTTAGTTCCAACATATATATATATACCTGTGTGTGTGTGTGTGTGTGTGTGTATGTATACATGAAATTACATGCATGATCCAAGCACTTTGAAAACTCATTTTGTGCATGATTCAATATGGGTTGGCTTGGGGAAACTCACCTTCTTTTTTACGGGACAGCTTGGAGCAAGAGCGCATTTGTAGTAAGCTCGAGGAGAAGGGTTATCTCTGGTAACTTTCTGGCCATATTTCCTCCATAGATACCCGTCTTTCACAATCTATCCATATTTATCAAATCAAGAACATGAGTATATCTATACATTTATAATTTTTACGAAGGAAATTAATTAATTAATTAGGGGGCTTACAAGGCTGGTATCAAAAGGGTGAGTCTTGACATAAACTGTTGAAATCTTTGGCTCCTTGATAGCACCTGGATCGTCCTCTTTAAGTCTTTTGTTCCAGGATCCATTATCGTCGGTAGAACTGCTCTGGGTGGAACTTTGATCAGATTTTCTTTTCTTTTCATTCACGAAATCCACCATTTGTTTTCTCAAAGAGTTGTAGTTCTCGCACATCACTGTTATCATCTGGCTAAGCTCTTTGTTTTCTGTGCTCAGCCGGTCCATTTCCTCCATCAATTCACCTCTCTGCAGATTCAATCCATCATGTATCAATTTTGTATCAATTAAATGATTATATGTCAGTTTTGGTAATACACAATTCTCCTATTTCAGTTGTGTTATAACTAGTTATATACATTATCTAATTAACGAATAATATACAAAAGAAAAAGGAAAAAGAAAAACAAGAAATCAATTCAGTTGGCCAAAAAGATAAAAATTGACCCAATAGAAATACATTCATATATATGTATACGTATACTATATATATATATATACACACACCTCATCATGATGATTGGGCTTCTCCGAAAGCTTTCTCTGAAGCTCCATGAATTCAGCGCTTTCCAGATATTCCTTCGGCTGGAAGTCAAGAAGAAAGAAAGAAAAAAAATTACCCAGAAGCAGATATATAAACATATTAATTATATGTATAATACTACTCATGCATGAATAAACATACATATATATATATATATATTTGCATTTTAATCACTTACCGGAACTACTAGTTCATCTTCTCTCAGATCAGGATTGACATTAAGATCTAAGGAAGCAGTGGAGCGTAAGGGACTAAAACTTAAGTCCATAACCATCAATACCCAGAGGCAGAGATTGATGAATGTAATTACGGCGCCTAAACCAGACGCTGTTTTAAAGTGAAGAAGAAGAAGAAGAAGAAGAAGAGGCAAAACCAGCTGCTTAGCTGTAGCTAGGCTGGGATCAAATGAATATATAGAAATGAATCTTAAAATTCAAAGCTTTCCAAATTGGATTCAACCTACCCAATATATAGAACACCTTCCTTTTTTTGGCGAAACTTGGTGGAAATGGGATAGACATGCAAGGATAAGAAGATATACTTGTCTTCAGTGTAGACCCGGCATATATATATATATTTACATATTATCTATCCATCTATAAGTAATAACCCATGTGGTCCTTTGGTCATTGTGGGTCTATATATTATATATAATATACATATATGCTGATAGAGAAAAGGAGAGAGTAGGTAATATATTGTTGTTGAAAATAGTGTAGATATGATAGCAATATGTGTATATGTGCGTGTGACATGAATTGTCGGTCGTGTTGAATTCTTGAGCGGCCCCACACTTTATGGTCAAAGTCAAGCCCACCATCTCCGCAATGAAACATTGGATCTTTACTGCTGGTTTGTCTCTTTAATGTGTTTTTCTCTTACATAGAGAAACTTATTGTTGACCCATCACTATTTCTTGGTTTGACCATATATATTTTTAATCATGCTTAAAAAATTATATAATTATTAATATATAAATCTCATTTAATTAATAAAATATATTAATTTTATTTTTATTTTTATAAAATATAAATTCAAATTAAAATTATCTATTTTACATATTATCATAATAAGTTATATTACGTGTTTTATTATTGTGAAATTATATTATTATTAGTGTAATATTTCGAGTTCAGAATTTAAGCTCACGATGATATAATTTAATTTTTAATAATAATAATAATAGTTTTTTATTTTTATTTTTTTCTTATAAATATGGATATTGAATAAATTTAAAAATAATTTTAAAAAATATAGCAATACTGTTAATAAAAAGATAATGTATTTGAAAGAAAAGTTTGAAAACAGAAGTCAAATTGAAAAAAAGAGAAACGCGGTCACGTGGGATGGCCACATCAGCGACACGACAAGTCAGAACGCGCTGCGTGGCAGACCCGCTGGCACAGGCTCCACACGGGAGCCACGCAAGCAATCTGTGTGCTTAGGTGATCCAACGACCCGTGTTCACTCTTGTGCGCACGAACGATCAGGATAAGCGCAATCGGACGATCCACACGTTTTCGATCGAACGGTCCAGATTTATTTCTTTATTAAACGCGATCGGACGGTTGAGGAGGCATCACGCAGACCAGAATAGACGGCCCAGATCAAGGGAATGAGAGTATTTAAATGCCTCTTCCACCGAAATCCTAACCCTAGCTGCACACCTGCTCGTCGGGAAGAAGAATAAAGGTGGCTGGAGGAGAAGCCCAGCCACTGGTGTGCCACACCGGAGACCCAAATCGCGTTGGTGACTGCGATTTTTTTTTTCTGTTCTTCTCGTTTCTCCACTATTTAATGTCTAACACATTTTTCATGCAGATTAATCGAAAACAACCGTGACCTATGA